CGCTCCCTGACCCACTCCTAACATTCAAATGCAAATGTTTATTCCTTCTTTATTCACGAACTCCGCATCACGGGCAGGCACAGCACTCATTTCAGCATGTGTTCATGTTTGTGTGTGCTGTCTGCGTCACTCATAGCACGTGCCTATATCGTGCGCTATATCGAACATTTTTTCTATCGATATTGAAGAAGGTGTACCGTCGATAAATATCGATACCGTTTTATCGCCCAGGCCTAAGTTCCAGGGATGTACATGGTTAGGTGTGTGCTTTTTGACGCAACCGACTCGGGTTCGAATCCGCCTTTCGCTGAACTTTTTTCTCTCCCTTTTCAAATCAAATTTCAAATCTTTTCAATATGAGATTCACATGGGAATGGCAATTATTTTCAATGAAAATTATGGAAATAATTGGAAAGTTGAAAAAGTATCGGGTAGGTTTAGGGTAGGTGTGGGGAGGGCTTTATTGTCCCAATAAAGTGGCATTCATTTAATAATTTGAATTAAAATTCTAATTTACATTCAATATGTTATTATTGCCACTATTTTGCAATAAGTAGTATAAATAAAGGAAATCGTGCTATTTTACCATAGTGTAAATATATTCTATGGCTATTTGCACTTAGTGTAAATAGCATATAGCTAAAAATACTGCTTTTTGCACTTAGTGTAAATAGTATCTATCGCTATTTACACTTATTGCAAATAGCCGCTGCCTAATAAAAAAATCCAGCTTAAAAGAGATAGCAAAAATCTTTGATGATGCCAGCTCTGTTCCAAATTCGAATATGCTGTCTCGCACATGGCTGCATCTAATTGAAATTATCCTCATTAGTGGCTGATTTGAAGCGCTCTACATAGGCAGCAACTCTGTCATAGGATGCTCTCTATATAAGCAGCTCACTAGGTTTTGGTACAGAGCCTCTGTATTACGTCCAGTTCAAGCTCTTCACCTTCCTACGTCGGACTGAATTGTGGCGTAGTCCTCGTACGGGCCCGATGAGCTTTTGGACGGGTTGATGCAGTGAAGACGAATCCCATTGAGCGCTGTGTTATCACCAACCAGCAGAGATTCCCACATACCTGCCACCTTTAGAAAAACAACAGCAAGTGATGTACTAATACCTTTATAGTCACTCTGAGCAGTTGTTATTATTATGGTTAACTAAAACAAAAACTAAGAACTTGCATTAACTCAGATAAAATCAGTTAAACAAACAGTTACACTTTCAGGAAATATTTCTAATTTCTATTTAGTTTAAGTTGAAGTACTAAAATTACAAAATTAGAAATAATTAAAACTTAACATAAAACCAAAATGAAAACTGAAAATCTAAAAAATGAAAACGAAATACAGTAAAAACATAAATACCATAAAACTAGGGCAGCACCGAAACTTTGGTGAGAATGATTCTGCTTTTATTACTTTCAGAGTAAATGGTGACTGATAACGGATAATGTATTGACATGTCGTGCAGCGTAACGTTATCTGACTCACGGAAAAATCAAAACTAATAGGTGCAACAGCACACACAAAGAAACAAACATACTGTGGTAGAAAAAAAAGATAAATATTCTATATAACATATGATATAGGTAAGCAACATCACGACCAAGCACCAGCACGATTGCAAATGTGACATTGATTTTATACAACAGTAGTTCAATAAACAAGTAGTTAATATTAAATGAATTACATTTTAGACACATTATTGACCGTTTTTGCTAACGAAAATAGTTCTAAGCAAAGCCACAGCAGAACAGTCGCGCATCTCAGAGCAACACACAGCGGTGTTTCGTTACTGAATGATTAAGCATTTTTGAAGGAATCGGTTGAGTCAATGATTCAGTGAGCCATTCATAAAGAAAGTCACTTGCTTTATTTATTGAATGAATTAGCCATTTGAAGGAATTGGTTGAATCAGTGACTCACTCATTAAGACAGTGACTTGCCGCCACCTACTGGTGGTTTGTTTTCATATTTAAAAGTAGCACTGCATTTCCCAACATTTTATATTTATATGTAAAAAAAAAAAAAGTTAAACATTAATCTTATAACATTATTTATGCATTTGCAATTTTACTGTGTAAATGCATTTATGGAACCTCTTATCTTTATTACACAGTCTGAGTAAATACATCTAAATGGAATTTTCGATGCAGCTTCAGTTTCCTCTGCAGTGGAAAGATGGAGTTTGTTGATACTGATTTGATTTGAATGGTAATAACCACACAGAGTCTAATTATTCTAACTGAATGTATTGATAAAATGTAAGAATTTGACGCAAATGATGACACGTACATTTAGTAAGGTTAGGAAAATATTGCCCTTATGACAAGCACATGTCAAGGCTTATTGTCGAGCCCTGTGGTGTTTTACTCATATAAATGATCAGCTACTGTAGTTGAGTTTTGGTATATTTTTTTATGTGAGTATACTGTATGTATGTGGGCAAAGTTGGATATGCGTATAATAGTTGTCAATTGAAGTTAAGATACTGAGGATTATGAAATCTATATGTTTTTTTGTTTTAATTTATGATGCTTTGGTGTTTATAAAGCTATCATGGCTATTTTCATGGCAAGAAAAAGGGCCAAATGTAGCCAAATTTAAAAATAAGAAAAAAAAAATTACAAACATTTTTTTACCATTTATTTTTGATTAAAAGATCTAACATTTCTGGTCTGCAAATATCTGAGCTAATATTTTGTTGTCGTGACAAACCTAATTACTGTTAGATGCTGTGTATCCGTGCCATGATTAAAAATTCACATTTTGGGGTTATAATTTTGATCATATCACACACATGCCATAATACTAACACGTATTATAATAATATCATACAGTGTGCTATTGTAGAATTCACTATTGGTTAACTTTAACATTACCTATAGTCAGCATGGCTTAGATGGCATTAGGTGAAAACTTCACAATAATCAATTATAACCAGACTAACCATTCATAATAAGATCAGGAACATGAATTAAGTAAGTAAATAGTCAGTTTTGATTTGAAGTGGAGTTGGTTACCAACCACTAAACCTCACACTACTGTATACTGGTAATAGTTACTCACCTTAAGACTAAAACCTGTGGCGTACATTCCAGTTGGACACATTTCTTTCTGACTCCACGAGCCCCATCGCATCCCATTATGGACCTTCAGCACTGACCCAAAAGGTCTGCTGATGGTTCGCTCGAAGCGTCCTCCTGCGATCACATACTGCCCGAAAACAGCCAGCAGTGAAATCAGCGTCAGAGACAGAAACTTGTACATGGTTTGAGAGCTGTCTTTATGTCTCCTGCTGGAGATCGGAACAGACGTGTGTGTGTGTGTGTGTGTGTGTGTGTGTGTGTTGTCGGTTCGTCACAGAGCTCAATGTAGGACATTGACCCTCCACCAACAGCTGGATCCAAGTCCAACCAGCACAGCAAACAGAACCTCTCTCCAAAAATAAATAGTTAAAATATAAACTGACCATTCGCCCAAGACATCAGATTTGATCAATATTACGATTCTCTGGTTCAAGACAGTAATCAGACAATTATGCAAAACTGTGGCACAGAAATACAGATATACTCAGATATTAAAGTCAATGACCTGCATGTAAACACACAATTACACAAACACTAAACAGGTCAAATGCCACTCTATTTAGAAAGAAAAAGGTTAGCTCATTTAAATCTGCATTGCTTGGCATTTGTATTCAATGTATTTTTTACATTTTGATATCACAGTAGTTCACAGAAATACTTTAAGTATATATTGTAAAGACTTTTCTTATGCCTTGGACTTCTACAGAAATGAAAGTTATTGTAAATGTACCTGTTTTATTCATTCTTTGATTAGTCAGTCAAGTCCAAATGTATTTAGAGAAATTAAGAACAAATGAGCGAGAAGCAAAGATAAATTTAAATGTTAACAACTTCAGTGAGGTTAGTGAGGAAGGGCATTATATATGGGCGAAATAAAATATAAGACCGTATTTCTGTCCTTCAAAGATGATGTTAATTCTTAGACATGGATGTCCTGCACAACCAAGAATGCCTCAAATATTAAAATGATGTTTGTATACATTTTTGCATCCCTTTCCATGAACATTTTTGTAAGACATTATTGTCAATGGACTGCATTGTGCCATTTCAGGCTAACTGAATACATTTTAATACACGGCTATGTGATGCGTGTATGATATGACGATTACTTTGAATCCAATGTAAGCTTGTAATATACTAATGTCATGAAAATTTGATGTAAGATGTTACAATAAAGGATGTGAAACTGCTTCTTAGCTTCTTAGAAAGAAACTTTAATGCTGATATTTGTTGCCAGATCAGGAGTCTTCAAGCTAAAGAATTACATGAAAGAATTAAAACTCAAATCATTATTTAATTATTAATTGTTTTATAAATAGCTGTGTAATAAGTGAGAGGCTGTCTAGTAAACGTTGTTATGATCAGCGGACTGCACATTAAACTATACTGTATAATGCAGTTAATGCTAGTTCATCATAGTATGATGATCAATTATGATCCATTTGATCTTCTTGTTTTTCTGGTTGTCCGCTTACACCTGAAATAAAACAGAAATCAGCTCAGCCAGCACTTCTATTGTGTAATCAAACAAACAAACAGTGTTATATGTGAAGTTGCTTTGCCATCTGAGTGTGTGCACGCGATCGCATCACCTTAATCGCAGCAATACATGCGCACGTTTTTGTAGGTTCGGTTTCCCTGTGGCCCTTCTTTCAGCGTACTGAAACCACAAATTCCTCTTCACTCACACTTTTGACTCCAGCCACTCCACTCGCCCCTGCTTCTGCTGTCACCCTCTAGCACTTTCTCTCGACTGCAGTTGAATCTGGAGAAAATTCATAAAATAATCAGTACTAACAAAATATAAAAAAATACTAAAAAAAGTTTGTGAGCAGTGTGAGGTGAAAACGGGTTTATGTGATTTTGCCTGGAGTGAGGAGCACTGTTAATGTCAGAGTGCTTGTTTTCTCTTGCTCCATGATCACTCAGAGCGAGTTTCTCTCACTAGTGTGGTGTTGGTGGTAGGGGTGTGCGATATTGACAAAAAATTATATCTCAATATTTTATGGGATTTTATCGATAACGATAATTAGACGATATTTTGCTGAGTGTGTTATTGTGCTGGTACCTTAAGGACTGCCGAAGACAGCTGACTCCTAATGTTTTTAATATTCTTCATATTCTGTGTGGTGGTCAGTTCATACTGATAGAAATTAATCTTTTCCAATAAGTTTAAACGGATTTTTGCATTTTATGGGCATTTTTAACTTTATAAAGCCATTTTTTCTAAAAGTGTCCATTATATTTTGAGTCAAATTCTTACATTTAATCAGGCAATTAGAATAATAAGACATTTGGGCTGTTACCAAGCAAATTAAATCAACACAGAAGCTGCATCTGAAGTGGCATTTAGATGTATTTACACACATGTATTTTGTTTAATGCAAGACATGAATGCATTTAACCTGCAATTACAAATGCATAAATAATGTTTTGATATATTAAACATAAAACGTACGATATTATCGCAGACGATATATATCGCACACCCCTAGTTGGTGGATACTGTCTGATTTTTGTCTGAAATCAAAGTTGCTCAGTATTAAAGTGGTCATAAATTTAGAAATCAAATGTTCCTTGATCTTCTAATATATAAGAGGTCATTGTGCTATAAAAACATACTGTAAGTTTCAGAACTTAAAGGGAAAACCTTCAAACAGTTGATGGTAGCCATTCATTGACTTCAATAGTACTCTGGAAGACAGTGGCTACTGTCATGCATCTAGTTGTCCCAAAAGTTTATTTCTTCTAAAAAAAAATGTCTTCTGAGAAAGATATTTTGAAGAATGTTGGCGAACAAACAGTTGATGGTAGCCACTGACTTTCATAGTATTTTTTTTCTCATGCTACGGAAGTCAGTGGCTACCATCATTCTTGAGGGTGTGTAAATGATGACAGAATTTTCATTTTGGGGTGAATTGTCCCTGTTAAACTTTCTCGTTAGCCCAAAAACAGCTTTTAATAAAACCAAAATAATTAGTTTTCTACTTTATCCTCTTTATTATGTAATAGAGATTGACACAGGACTGCTTGCACAGACAGATAAATGCATACTTCATTATTGTCTCTTAGGCAAAAAAGCAATTCATGACCCCTTTAATTTATTGTTTATCAAACTATGTTGTATAAAAACAATATCACACAATCATGCTGTTGTTCTGAATGTGATCAGTCATGTGATAATCTGCAACCTTGTGCACAATCACAGTCACGCTCATACAGCTTTCACAAAAAAAAGACCACACAAAAAAAAAAAACAATATGACTTATACCAGCATATACTCACTTGATGTTTGTGGTTATGCCGGCTCCAAATCTCAGCTGAAAAGCAGTCAATAAGGACGTACAAGAACAAAATCCATCCAGTCTATTAAATATCCACTGACCGGAGCTGTGGACAAACACAATTTTATTGATCGAATCAGTTATTATTTTCAAGAAAATCCTTTTATTTGTCTAGCTTATGAAGAAGCTGCTCCTAAGTATTAATGTAAGAATTCTTAATAAAACCTGCTATAGTTAGTTTTATTACTCGGAATGTGAGCCCTTTACCGTTCTACTTCTGACTGAACTGAGGTGTGGACCACATATGAGCCCATCAAGACACTCAATATGCTGGTACAGTAAAGACGAATCCCAGTGAGTACTTCGTTATCATCCCCAGAGGGGATATCATCAGAGGAAGGTCTTCTATACACCTTAAAAACAAACAACATGACAATCCTCCATTCAAAAGATGGAGCCACAAGCAATGTTTTAGAGTTAACTCGAACACAACCCACAGCGACTTGATCTTCATGTTCTTTAGTATTAAGCAGGAACTTAAGGAAATCTTAAGCAGATGCAGTTCATTACTAACAGTGACTGAACCATCAGTCACCAATTACATGTTTAATCACTATGAAACCCCCATATTACCATAATCCAGTCATTGCCCGACTTACCTTTAGACTAAACCCTATGGCGTACGTTTCACTTGGACACATTTTTATTTCATCCCATGTCCCCCACCGGACCCCATTCGGCACAGTCAGCACTGATCTGAAAATTCTGGTCTGAACGCTCACAAATAGCCCAATAATGACTAACAGTAATGAAAGAAAGTGATGCATTGCTGCAGATCGATGAAATTGACAAAAAATACTGATGGAATTAATTCTGTTAATGAGACTTCAGAACTTCAAAATGTATTTATATGGTTCTTCAATGTTGTGATATCCTGGTTCTAGCCAATCAGCAGCCAGGAGCACCAAGTGCTCGGAAATAACCTGCATGTGAACATGCAAAAATACAAACACTGATCCAACAAAAATATCTGTAGGCCTGTATTTGACCGTTAGTGACCATGGAAAGTGTTTTACTTGGTGATGTGCCTCTAGAAAGTTGAGTTGCTTCTTTGATTTTATATTTTGAATGAGTTCAGACAGAAATATTAGGTAACAGAGAATATTAGACTGACCGTAAAATAAATGCCGGGCGTTTGCTTACAGGTTTACTTACATTTAATTTTCCTGACGTAAATAACAATGCTTGCAAGTAAGAAAGAGGTAAAGGAACAGTTTGACTAAAAATGTAAATTCAGTCATCATTTACTTTCCCTCTTGTCGTTCCAAACCTATGAGTGTCTTTCTTCTGATGGGCAAAATGATAATTTAAATATCATGAAGGATTTTTTGACTGCTGAATAAGTCTTACTATATTAAAGTCAGTGATCTGCATGTTAAAGGGGTCATATGATGCGAATTCAATTTTTCTTTTCTCTTTGGAGTGTTACAAGCTCTTGGTGCATAAAGAAGATCTGTAAAGTTGCAAAGACTAAAGTCTCAAATCCAAAGAGATATTCTTTATAAAAGTTAAGAGTCAGCCACACCTACCTAAAACGGCTCGTTCTAACACGCCCCCACATACCTACGTCACTATGTGGGAAGATTTGCATAACACCACCCAAATGTTCACGCAAAGAAAGAAGGCGTAACTTTGATTCTCGCTGTAGTATTTTTGTTAATACACAAAATAATGTTTTTTTAGCAACATCATATGACCCCTTTAACACAATCAGCTCTGATCATTGCCAGTAAAAGCATATGCCCTTTGAAACAGCTTTGATTGATGAGTTAAATGAATAAATATCTGTCTGAAAATTAATAATAAATAATAAACAGCAGAAATCAACACTGAACACCAGCTTGAGTTCATGATACGAGAGCAATGAGGTCACATGACTCTCCACTTCCCAGGTCATGTTCTTTCGTTTCCAGCTGA